CCCCCCCCGGCATCTCCCAGGGGCAGCGCCAGCTACTAACACTGCCCCTGAACGTCAGTGTCAGTGTCAGAGTGGAAACGTGAGCCGGGCTATTTTGAAACTGAGCTGAGCGGGATGGCAAGGCCAGGCCAACACAGGTGCCGTGGATTCGCCTTTCTCCTGGTCCGGGTTGGCTCCACCTGTGTTTACCCTCTGCCCCAGTTTCCACTTTTCTTTGTTTTGGTGGTGCCAGGGATTGAACCTAGCACCTTCACACCGAGCTATGGCCTCACCCATCCATCCATCCATCCATCCATCCATCCATCCATGCATCGAGACAGCATCTCACCAAGTTCCTAAGTTGCCCAGGCTCGACTTCCACTTGGGATCCTCCTGCCTCATCCTCCCAGTGTGCTGGGGTTTCAAGTAGGAACCACCAATCCAGCTTCTTTTTTAAAACATGGTGAGTGTATTTTTCTAAGATGCTGGAAATCTAACTTAGTACACGGTGAAGTATAAACATGTAAAGATGGGATATTTCAAGCATTAACGATAATTCCCTACATTTGCTGTGGCAGACTGTTTTCAGTGGCTCTACTTAAAAATATCTTATATCAATTTCCCTGGCTGAGTATCAACATGAATAGTCCAGCTCTAAAGTTCCTCCACTCAGCGAGACTCTTGTCTCAAAATAGAAAATTCAGAAAGGCCCTGGGCTCAACAGAGCTGCATCCCCAGCCTTTATTTTTTATTTTATTTTTAATTTTTCTTTTTTTGTACCAGGGATCGAACTCGGGACCTTGCGCTTGCACAGCAGGTGGCAAAACCACTGAGCTAAATCCCCGGCCCATTTATTTTTTATTTTGAGACAGGGTCCAAGTCACTAAGTTGCCCAGGCTGGGATCAAACTTATGATCCTCCTGCCTCAGCCTCCTGACTGCTGGGGTTACAGGTGTGCACCGCTACACCCGGCTGAGAGGCTGTAATGTCCATGCCTTTCTCTGGCGGTATTTACTTAATTGAAAACAGATCAGAATCGTCCATTCTCCCTTCTATGGCAATCATTATACAGATTCCTGTTAGGATCTCACCATACTGGTATAAACAAATAGATTAGCCATTTAAAAATTTTATTTATTTAATGGTGCTGGGGGTTTCACCCAGGGCCTTCTCCCTGAGCTATATCCCCAGCCAGTTTTGTTTTTTTTGAGACAGGGTATTACTAAGTTGTGCAGGCTGGGGTCAAGCTCATGGTCCTCCTGCCTCTGCCTCCCAGGTCAGTCACCTTGCACTGAGCGGGCAACGCCTTGGCTTTGTCCAGCACGGGTTGGTGTGAGGCTGTCTGCACTCCCCCACCGGTAGCCAGTCCTTCGAGTTGCCCCGAGGACTCCCTAAGCCCAGCGAGTTCTATGGCGCCGAAGAGCTGTGTGTGCACCTCGCTAGCTCAGCACAGTCCCCGGACCTAGGCTTGGGGCCAGGCGCTGACCCTTCAGAGACCTGGGCTTCCTGGTTGCTGTGGCCGGAAAGAGCCAGCAGAGACTGCAGCCCACGCCCCTCGTGCTATCTCACTCGGGGCTGGCTGGTGAGGTGGAGTCCGGGCCCATTCCGAGGTTAGGTCTGGGTGTCAGAGGGCAGAGCGGCTGCTGAGGAGGGCGAGCTGTGCCACCACATGCTGCCCCCCGCCAAGGATCTTGGCCAGCGGCAGCAAGGCCACACCCAGGAAGGGACCCTCCCTCCTGCCCCCCTCCCCCGGCTGGCTATGGCTTCGGGGAGAGCAGCTCTGGCTGGTGTCACGGTTTAGGCCTAGAGCGCCCCCCAGTGTGTCCTGTGCAGAGGTGGGGCTGTCTGAAGGCGACCGATCTCGGGTACTAATCCCCGCAAGGGAACACAGCTGACGGCACCGTGGGGAGGGACCCCTGAGAGGCGGGGCTGCCCCTCATCCCGGTCCTTGCTCTCCGCTCCCATGGGGCAAGCAGCTTTCCTCCGCCTCACGCTTTGCTGGAGGTCTGCCTCACAGCCTGCCGACCGAGGACCGGACCCTTCGAAACCGTGAGCCAAAGTGACAACCTTCTCCTTGGGGTTGGCATTCCCAGGCTGTGGGCAGTGAGGAGCCAACACAGCAGCCGGGCGATCTGAAGGGAACCGACTCTGCACCTCGTCTGTGGGGCTCCTGAACGTGAGAAGGAAGCCAGTTCACAGCTGCACCAATTCCCCACTCACGTGGGCCCTGTGCTGAGCCGGCTTCCAAACAAATGATCCCCTTTCTGCCCACGCAGGTCGGTGAAAGGCCACTGCAGTCTGAGACGGCTCACCAATCTCTGGCAGCCAAGGTGACTGAGGACCTGGCTGTGGACCGGTAGACAAGTGGGCCGAACAATGGACTGCAGGCCTGTACAGACCGCCTGCTCGTTCCCGGTGCACAGCCGCACACCTCAGCCTCAGCGGCACCCATGACGCAGGCAGAATCTTGGCTGTTCAGCTTCGTCTTTTGCTTCATGTTTTGTGGCATCCCTGTCCTCCACCCCTTGATGGCAGGAGCACCCTCCAGGCACGAGGCAAAAATATCTCCAGGAAGTGGCTCACACCTGTCACCTCAGCACTGTGGGAGGCTGAGGCAGGAGGACTGAAGTTCAACCTCAGCCTGGGCAACTCAGTGACTCAGTAAGATCCTGTCTCAAAAACTAAAAATGGCCTGGGGACGTAGCTCAGTGAGAAGGCCCTGGTCCAATCCCCAGTACAAGAAAACCCAACCAGAACCAGTCACTGCCAGATGCCCAGTGTGGGGGAACTGGTGTAACAGGTCTGCGGCCCGCCTGGCCCTGGGTGTCCAGTGTGCATTCCTGTGGGCAGTAAGGTCCCTAGACAGGAGCCGACAGCATGCGCCTTCAGCATCCAGGTCCCTCCCCGAGCCCGTCACTGGAACAGCTGCTCCTCCCATCCACAGAAGTGACCGGGGCACAGCCCAGGCGGGCCAGGGACCCTGCCAGAACGCCCTCTTCTCAGGCACACAGCCGTCACAGAACCCCAGGATCCACAGACACGAGTGCTACACCGGGCGCCTCAGTGAGGAGTCAAAGGCTGTGGAGGACAGGGCCACTGCACAGCTCAGGGCCTGGTGGGGACTGGGGAATGGGCTGGCACACACGTGTGCACACCACGCCCTCCTGAGCAGCAGTGGCCGTGACATCTGCAGGTGACACTCAAGTGTGGCAGGTGGGGCAGGAGCCCGAAGGACAAGGGCTCCATCAGTCCCAGAGCCGACTCCGGGAGACGGAGACTCCTCTATGCGGGCAGCAACAGCACTGCTCAAAGACATGGAGGGCAGAAGGCTCAGGACCTGGGCTCGGGCACCCTGGCCTTCGGTTCTGTTCTTCCATGCTTCCCTGTGGCTCCTGACAGCTGTCCTCTCTCGCCCCCACCTGTGTCTACTCTCGGGGTTTAAACCACTCCTCCCAGCCGCCAGCCACCCCTCCTGCTCTCCTGCGTGTGGACACCACCCTCACGGAGCCCGCCAGCGGCCGGGCCCTCCTATCTCCCGGGCACCTATTTAGTGCTGACCCACAGCGCCCCCTGCAGCCTGTCCTTGGCTAATTCCACACAGCTTGGTAGTTTCAGATCTTTATTTTTAAACTTCTATACATAGTCAAACCTTTCTTTGAAAGTGAGAGGCTTAACATATGAATCCATGATGCTCACAGGAATCCACCCGCCCCACACTGCACTCTCCCACACACCCACCTACCACTTCCACTGTTCACTTCCGACGGGACAGGTGGGAAGCAAGGCGCTGGGAGGGACGGCGACGACAGCCCCTCAAGGAGCTCACAGTCTAATGGTAACTACTGAGTAAACTGAGGCACGGGGTGGTAAATGACTTACCGCTGAGGTAGAGCGTGAGGTGCTTGGGGAGAGGACCAGCGCTGGGGGAGGGGAACAAGAGCCCCGAGAGGGGAGGGCCACACACAAGCTCCTGATGCCTCTGCATGCAGAAAGCTTGGCCCAGGCTGCAACGTCACCATGACTCGGTCAGCCGTCACGGATGGCATTCGTGCGTGGGGCCCACAGCCCGTGCACACTGGGAGCTGAGGGCGACACTGCGTGCTGTGGTCCTTGTATGGGCAGACCCATGGAGAGCTCTCCTCTGACCTCACCCAGGAGTCTAATAAGTTAGAGAACCGAGGGCTCAGCGCCCATCGGCCACTGTCCACAGTACATGATCTCGTGCAAGGTGCGGGGGTCACGGGATGTATTTCACAGGGAGCTAAACATGATACAGGTATGTACAGACACCGCATGGATCTGTGTGCACACGGCCCGTGCACCTGTGAGCTGCCGGTGTGACCCAGCATAAGGCAACTGGTCATGCGTCTGCAACGGGAGCCGGGAGGCCCTGCCTGCCCACTGTCTCCCCGAGGCTCTGACAGGGCAGCGAGTCGGAGTCGTGACAGAGCTGTTTTCCGAGCACAGACCACCACCATCCGGGCACCTAAGGAGGGAGCTACTTGAAGCGCTACCGGCCCGACTGCTGCCACTCCTCGGGGGTCACCGCTCCTCAGGGCTGAGTCCACCCTGCTGGCGGCTCTGGTAGCATCAGTTGCTCACCTCCAGCATCTCTTCAGTCTGCTGCGGTGGCTCCTCTGTGGGAAAGGGGCAGAGAGGGACAGGGATGCCTCAGGAGAGGGGACCCCGCTGGGAGCCTGTGCTCACAGTATCGGCGGAACCCCACTTCTCTGAGCCTCACTTGAGTAAACAGAGTAGCGGATTGCGACCTGGGGCCAGGAGCCCAGTGGGGGAGGCAGAGTCCCCACGAGAGTCCTCGCCAGCAGGGCCACCGTGGGGGGCCCATCTGCGGGCGCAGTCTGGGCACTGGCCTTCAGTCAGCCCTGCCACTGAGGACGGCGCTGGTGTCTGAGCCATTTCCGGGGCAGGAACACGGAGCATCTCCAGGGCGTCCCACCCATCCACACATCGCTAAGCCCTGTGAGGTCACCTTTCTCGGGACGTGCGGGGTGTGTGCTGGCGGCCGGGCGGCTCTGCTCCACCTCACACAGGTACACGTCGATGGGCCCCTTGGTGCTCCGGATGTGCACGGTGATGGAGTCCTGCGGGGACACAGCACAGCAGTCTCAGACGCAGGGGATGTCCCAGGGCCGCAGCCTGACACCCTCTCACCCATGGGGCTGGGGCCCCAAGGAGCAAGCCAGCGCCCCACACTCTGAGGGTCTACCGAGGAGCTGGGCTGGGGAGCCGCCCTTGCCCTTGTCTCCAGGGAAGGACCAGGAGGCCAGGACCACAGGGAGCGCCTTGTGATGGAGGCGCCACACCCCGGAAGACAGGCACGTGAAGCGCGGCCTCACTGGCTGGGTGCTCAAATCCTCAGCTTCAGCTTCCCAGGGGCGATGACAGCGCTGCTCCACAAGGAACCCGGCGAGCCACACCTGGCCCTCAGAGCAGCCGTCAGGCGCCTGTGTCTGTCAGAGTGGGTCAGCCATGCTCAGGCCTGGCCCTGTCCAGCAGTCCGGCTGAATGCCCCATGCCTGGGCTCTCAGCTACACCTGAGGCTGAACCAGGAAGAGCTTGAATTTGAGGCCAGCATGGGCAACTTAGGGAGACCCTGTCTCAAAATAAAACTCAGAAAGGGTTTGGAATGCAGCTTGGGTATGGTACTCGCTCGTGTAGCATGTGCAAAGCCTGGGTTTAATCCCTAGTACTAGGAAAAAAAGTAAAATAAATAGACTCAGCATCCAGAGGGTCTGGAACTCATGCGCCACCCTTGCTGTGCCCCTGGTCCCAGGCAGGGGCTGGACAGCACCTCCGCTCGGGTGCTGGGTGCCAGCCAGCGCTGGTCCACTGGGGACACCGAGCCTGCAGAGCCACTGCTGAACAACACAAGAAGGAGGTGCGCTGCCCTGACCACGGCGGCCCCAAGGCCACCCCTCACCTCCCCGCAGCAGGGGCAGCCGTGCTTGGTCCCAGTACAACAGATTATGAGGACAGCTGGGGCGGGTGACACTGGGCTCAGGACCCCAAGCCCTCTGAAGCCAGTATGCTCTAGTGTCCTGCTGAGCACGACTCGCGAGACTCAACTCTGGGAGCTGCCAGGCTGAGACCGACCTCGGCGACTCCAGGTTGTGTCACGGCCCCAGAGAGCCATCTGCACACCCCTCGTGTCCACCTGGCAGCCAGGCACCACGCCACCTGGGAAGGCAAGCCCTCGTCCTCAACTCATCATAGCAAGTCAGTGTGTGGTGTCTCCTCCAGGGCCACCCAACCTTCCGGGCTTGGGGGTCACCCACCTCTCTGGGCGCAGGGACGTCCAGCCTGGTCTCCTCCGGGGCCTTCACTGCGATGACGATCTGCTCGTGGAAGGCCCGGATGCTGTGGATGTCCTGGTACGTGACATAGGCCAGCGTGGGGTCCAGTCAAGGATAACTGGGGCTTTGGGCTGGGCTCAGAGTGAGAACCCAAGTGCAGCAGCAGCTTTCGTTTTCAGACTCACAAGTCAGGAAAGCAGTTGGTAAAACAAATTATTTCATAGGCAACTCACTATTTCATATACACTTCTTAAGTTTTATAGGGTCCTGTGGTATTTATAAGTCAACTTAAAAGAGTTCTTAAAAGAATTCTTGTGATTGCAACAATTGCTTGAGCAAAGTGTTAACAGAGTCTGAGTCCCTACATTCGGGGGTGCAGCTGCGTCCCTTACCCTGGGGCCACGTCCTGAGACCCTGGGGGAGGTCGGAACCACAGAGAGCACCCAGCCACATGGCTCCGAGGCTCCTTCTTGCCATGCACATGGCCTGTAGGCCTCGCCCGCAGGTCAGGCACAGTGGGTAACAGCAGGAACTAGCGATAAAATAAACACTCCTAATGACATGCAGGGAGTTATTTAAAACTCACAACTGCTCCTTCTGGAATTTCCCCCTTGATATCTCTGGACCAGTCACTGTGGGTGAGACCACAGAAAGCAGAGCCACAAGCTAGGGCAGATGACTGTGTTCCAATCCCCACCTCCACCCTATTCAGGGTTAGACCTTACTAGAAACGGCTTCAGGAAAAACTATTTGGGGTTTTGATAAGCCCATTGTTTCCCTAATCTATAAAAAGTAGAAACAACCTAGAGAAGAGTTTTCGTGAGACTATCATGGACTCACGGACTTTCCTCTTCTAATATTATTTTCTGCTTCATTATCTGAACGCTTTTCAGCTTGTTTGTGCTGCCTGAAACTTAATTCCCTGATCCGGTCGTGTTGTCATCGTCGTTGTCATCGTCTTCAGTGGCACCGGGAATGGGCTCCGTTCCCAGCCCTGTGCATTTGGAGCCCGGGTCTCACTGAGTAGTAGCGCTGCCCGCCGGCCTCAGATTTGCAACCCTGCCTCTGCCCTCGGGCTGTGCAGTTGCGCACAGCCTCACCCCGCACCTCTCTCACACCGCACACTTCCTGGCTGGCTGCAGCGGTGCAAGCACTGACTTGCGTTTTCTTTTTGCTGACTGTCCTGTGGGGAGGAGCAACCTGGAGCATCGCAGAGCAGCCTGGAGTCAGCCCCAGCCCGGCAGGGTTCAGACTGAACCCTAGTGCGAATGTGCTCACCTTGGGCACTATGGACTGCACCGAGTCCCCAGTGCGCATCTGCTGTGAGGGCTGCAGGCAAGGGTCACAGGTAACGGCGAAGCCCTTCCCTTCCCTACTGGGGCACCTGAATACCTGGCGACTGGACCACCGTGGGCATGGGTGGCATCCAAGCACCGCCTCACTGGTGAGTCTTACTGCTTCAGAAATAAACTGGTTCACAGATTAGGGCAAAGTTGATTTAGTATGAGGACTGAAACCACCACAATGGGGAATGCTGTGCTGACTGGAAACATCAGCTTGGTCGCTTTGGACTTGGGTCGCACACAGAATGTTACCCCAAGGCCGCCACTGCGAGAGGCACCAACCCACAGGACTTTGCTTACTTTCACGTTTAACGATGTAATATTATATTGTGAGCACAGAGATGAAATCCCCAAGCTGGTAACATCACTTAATCAGCTTGGGCAGCAGCAGTGTTTAAAAGAGAGATATAGCCAGGTGTGGTGGTGCACGCCTGTGTTCCCAGCACTCAGGAGGCTGAGGCAGGAGGATCGCCATGAGCTCCAGGCCAACCTGGGCTACACAGTGAGTTCAATTCCAGCCTGAACTCAGGCTTATTCAGACCTTGTCTCACTAAACAAACAAACTACAAACGTATGTACAGATTTAAAGGATATCTTTCATTCTCTTTGTCATCTGTTAACTCAAACAGCTGCTGAGCACAGTCCTTAATCAACTCATCCAGAGCATCCTCCATCGCAGACAGGTCGGACAGCTCCTGCTGCAGCTGCTTCTGCTGGGGCACTGCTGAGAAGCTGTTCAGGTCGGATCCTCTGTGGAAGACAAACCGCTCTGAGGAGCAGCCGAGACCCTGAAGAGCTGCAGCTCTGCAGAGTGACGCAGAGTGCTGAGACAGTTGCTCCACTAGCGCGCTGTGTGTGCGAGTCTGCAGGCTCTCGCTCTGTGCACGTTCTTTCTGAATACAACGTCACACTCTGCTTTTCTTTCTCTTTTTGGTTTTTCTGAGAAGGGGGTCTCACTATGTAGCCCAGGCTGGCCTTGGACTTGGGACGATCCTCCTGCCTCAGCCTGAGTGCTGGGACTACAGGTGTGCGCCATCGTGCCTGGCTCATTATTCTTAAGAGATCTTCTTTAGTTACGAATGGCTACTCCAGCAAGGTTAAGACTGAGCAACAACTGATACACACTTTCTCTCCTTTAGTCATTTCTGCAGGGTAGGAGGTGCATTTTTTTTTTGGTACTGGGGATCGAACTCAGGACCTTGCACTCACGAGGCAGAGAGTGCCACTGTGCTAAATCCCTGGCACGTGGGGGGTTATTTTTTTGGTACCAGGGATCGAACTCAGGACCTTTCGCTTTCGAGGTTTGGGGAGGTTGAGACAGGGTCTCGCTATGTAGTCCAGGCTAGGGCTTGAACTCAGAGTGACCCTCCTGCCTCAGCCTCCTGAGTGCTGGGATCACAGGCGTGCGCAACCATGCCCATTCCCCCCTTCAGGCTTTATGGGAAAAAAATAAGGCAAAGGCTGTCACTGGGGTCTGACACCCCTCTTCCGTCCTGACCCTCAGATCTAATTCACATTAGTGACACAGAGCGCAATCTGAGGAGCTCCACAGTGAACAGATCACCGAGGGAGGCCACAGCTCCCCTACACTCATCCCGGGGTGGTGCCTCTCAAGCATCACTGTTCTCAACCTTACTGGTTTCCACCGGGAAGCAACTGGAACGACGGAACTGTGGAAAAGACTTTCTATGTCTAAGTTCCCCACTCAGTCCTAAGAAATTTTGTTTTGGTACTGGCAATCGAACTCGGGACCTTGTGCTTGAGAGGCAGGTGGCGGCACCACTAAGCTAAACCCCCACTCCCAGCTAAGAAATTTTTTTAAAAGCCCATTGTGGGACAAGGCAAGAAAATCTTACAGAATCCTTTCCTATTGAGAATCACACCTGGCTTTATTACATGCTGCCTATCATTGCTAATATCTGCTTTGGTTTAAGAACAAAACTGTCACCTAACAGGAATGGGAAGCAGGAAAGCAAGGAGCTGCAGAAGCCCACTCACATCCACCGGATGTGGTTCTTGGATTTCTTCTCCACCAGGGCGATGCCATCCAGGACGTTGGTGATGTCGTATACTCTGCGCTTGCGCACACCCAGCTTGGTTGCCACCCTGTTTAAATCCAGGATGCCCCCAGGAGCAGATCTGACAAGATCCATGAACCTCCGAGTTAAATACACCAGTGATACATCGAAACGTGGCCTCTTCACTTTTAGAGCTTCTGAGAAACAAAATAAACACATTTGTAAAATTTAAGTCACATTTCCCAATTCATTTAAATAATCACTTATTCCCTTTTGACCTGAAAGCACTGACAACTGTAGACATTCCTGCCCACGAACTACATCATAGCTGATTTCCAGGCAAGTCTTCAAACTGGATAACCACCTCCACCCCTGGCCTAGGGTAAACAGAGGCCTTACGTGTCAGTAAGGGGCGCTGTGTCTACATGAAAGGCAGACTCTACTGTGTGACCAGTCTAACACGTCTGCTGTCCCTCATTGAAGCGGCCAGTTTATGTTTGGACCCACACCCTTTTCAGGAATAAGAAGAGAAAAATTTAAAATTAAATTTCTCTTCTGGTCTTTTTAAGACAGGGTTTCACTATGTATTTCAGGTTGGCCTCAAACAGCGATCCTCCTGCCTCAGCCTCCCGGGTGCTGGGATTATAGGTGTGTGCCACTATGCCCAGCTCTCTTTTGTTTTTTTTTGGTACCAGGGATCGAACTCGGGACCTTGGGCTTATGAGGCAGGTGGTGGAACCACTGAGCTAAATCCCCGGCCCTCTCCTTTGGTTTTTAAGTTAAAGAACATGTATTTTAGGAAAAAAGGTTTCACTTTTATTATTATTATTATTATTATTATTATTATTATTATTTTTGGTACCAGGGATCGAACTCGGGTCCTTACTTTTATTATTTTTTAATGTTTCTAGCCATGTCACAGATATAACCCTATCTGATGGGTTTTTTTCCCCCGGTAGGGGTATTGAATTCAGGACCTTGTGCTTGCCAGGCAGGCGCAGTGCTACTGAGCTACATCCCCAGCCCTGACGACGGTTTTGGAAGAACCCAGACTCGTCCTGTGGAAGGACGACCGTCCAAACTGAGGAAGCGGCGCATCCATCTACACGCGCTCATCAGGGCTCTATTTCCAGGCAGGCACAGGAAAGGGGACAATCCCGCCACACAGAGAAACTCCCGACACACACACTGTGCTGAGTTTTAAAAGCAAAAACAGGAGCGTACCATTTCTGTAACAAGCTCTCGTAGTACTATGAACATCCTGGTATGCTGAGAATTTTGTCATCCTTAATAGTCTCATGGAATATTTGCTGAAATTATTCCCATGCTGGAAATTCAGACTCTCTCCAACTCTACTATTCTGCACGACACTTCGGGGAACCCTTGCCAGGTAATTAATGTACCCTCGGCTCCTTCCCTGAGACAAAGCCCGACAGGCGCGACTGCCGAGTGGGAGAATTTTTAGGGCCTGCGGTGCTCAGGCTGTTGGCTCTGTCAGTTTACTGTTGTGCCGTGTGCACGAATGCTACCATTCTTTTCATCTTTTCCAACCTGATGCCATCCAGAAAGTCCTATGGATGGGTCTTCTGAGGAAGTAAAGCTTCACGCCTCAGCTGTGAGTCTGGTCTACATGCCCAATCTGCACACCGCTGTCCCCTCCAGTCAGGCCCTGAGGTGCTGAGGAGCAGCACACACTTGGTAAGGTCAGCGTCTTCCCAGGATGCCCAGTCCTGGGCCAGGTAAACTAGGAACCTGGGTCTTTTTAAAGTACAAGTCACAGTTCCACAACAAACCTTGGAAGACATCAAATGAGAAATTCTCCCTTTAAAAGCACATTTAGTTACACTGTTAGTAACAAGCGCAGGTGAGTACGTTCCCAGGCCTGCTGCTCATTTTCTGCAATGTGACAGCCAAGGGACACAGATGTGACCACACAGGCCTCTCTCAAGTCTCCTGGGGCTCTGAGGGCTGCTGCTCCTCAGACCCGCATGTGGGCACCTGGGCACGGAGAAGCCACAAAGGGCCAAGCAGGAGGAAGCTGGGGCAGAGCAACCTAGTGCCAAGACTTCCGGCAGGACAGGGAGCCCGAGAAGCGTCTGTTCTCCAGCCACCCATGCAGGGCACGATGGAGACAGCAGGGGAATTATGGGGAGGAGGGGGGTGTTCTTTGCGCTGACTGCCAACCCTGCAGGCAACAGCAGGTGACCTCGCTCAGGGGGCTGGGAAGACGTCCTTAAACACAGGCTTGGGTTTACGTCACTGTCACCAACCGGCAGCAACTTGATGCTCTGACACTGCAGGTCCTGCGTGTGCATCACTCAGCGCTCAGCCTCTCCTGCAGTGAGGACACTCAAGGACCTCGCCCTCGGCGACTCTGGAGCACACGCTACTGACAGCAGGCTGCGTGCAACAGCCCCAGAAGTCCCAGTCCCACAGGAACACTGCCCCCTCACTCTGTCCAGTCCACTGTTCCGGCTGCACCGAGAAGGGACAGCACATGGGGTTTAAGGTGACATCACTTCCACAGCACGGAAAGAGAAACTGCCGCTATGGCTGTGGTCCACTCCCAGGACTCGCTGCTTGGACCTCACACTTCACAGCTCAGTGCAGAAAGGTGGCAATGTGTACCTTATGTTGGTCCTCATCACTTCATGTAAATTTCAAGTAAATGCTTTTAACAACATTCCCTTAAAACCGAAAACCCAGCTAGGAATCAACTTACTTCTCATGGACACATACTGCACATTATCTTCTAAATTAATCCTGATTTTTGATGGCTGGAAAAAAGGGAAACATTTAATAATTTAAGAACAACAATGCAATTGAATAGCATTTTACTCTACAATACAAAGGTTTAAGGTATGTTTAAAATCAATTAGCAGTCAGTTGTGCATTCCTATTACAGTCAATGTAAAAACAGCGGCATTTTTTTTTTTCTCAGTACAAGAGATAGAACTCAGGACCTTGCACTTACAAGGCAGGCGCGGTACCACTGAGCTCCATCCCTGGCCCCAGTGGTATTTTTAATAATGGGAAATAAATAGGGTAAGCTGTGGTTAACCAGAAACTCTGCTGTTGGAGGAATGTCTTAAATTCCTGAAGACGCCTTATCAGTGCTCACCATCCTGCTAGCTACTTAGTATCAAAGTTTGCATTAACTAGTAATGGTGGCAACACAGATACTGTTTTTTGCAAAAAATAAATAAAATAAAACTTTAATCTGAAACTGTATTAAGAGAAAGGCACTAATAACCTTACGCTGGGGAGGGGTCAAGGGCTCAGTGGGTGGCAGGCAGCCTGTGATCAGAGGCCAGGCTCGCTAAGGAACAGCCGCTCCACACATCACAGGCGGGTGGGCAGGAAGCACACAGGAGCCGGGAGCGGGCGCCCAGACACAGGAGTGTGGGGCAGGCAGCCCTCGGGTGGCCTGGCGGGCACACCAGACTGTCTGAACAGTGAATTGTGCACATGGAAGCAAAGTGGCTTGCCTGAGGAAGGCTCTGTGGCCGGGCAGTGGCTGGGTTTGGAAGTGGGAAGGGCACTGCAGCACCACACAGGGGCGTGAGCAGAGGAGACGCTCCAGGGATGTCGGAACAACACTTCAGTATCCGAGCTCGGGCTTTAGAACTAGTCAGTAGGGCGGTAAGAGGTCGGAAGGAAGGAGCTCTTCAGGTCAGTGTTACGGCAGGCGCTTGCATCTGGAGCAAGTCCCCTCCACGCCACAGTTCCATGGAGCAGAGCCGCCGGGGAAGGAGCTCCACCCTGAGGGAGCGCAGGGCCTGTGGTGCACTATTGGGCAGGGGCTGTGTCCTGCTAACTCTTTTGGGCAGCGCTGAGGAGGGACCAGCGACAGGACAGTACTGAGGCAGCCCCGTCACAGCCAGTGCCAGGCACAAGCAACTGTCGCTGCCGGTCCACACGGATGCCCTCTCCTGACGGAGTTTGAGACAAGGGCTGCCCCACTCAGCAGGCCCCAAAACCCTGCGGCGCTTCCTTCCGTTCTCTCCCTCCAGCCTGCATGTCCTCACACAAGTGCGTGCCAGGGTGGGCGGCCTCAGCTCCTCGGAGGAAACCCTCGTCCTGCACAGCGGCTCATAGGCTGCACAGGGACGCCCGCAAAAAGGCTGGCGCTCTGATGCAGTGCCAACTGGGGACTGAGAAAACAGGCTGGACAGCGCTCACCGATTTCTTCCCCTTGAGCGTGAACTCTTCCTCAGCAGAAGCACAACCATGGTCTCCCCAGGGCAGACTCCCCACACAGGCAGCTCCCTGGTCTCAGCTGCACCAGGGGCTGGTGGCACTGAGGAAGGAGAGGTCATGCGTACAGAGCCAGCGAATTCCCAGCCCCACAGCTAAGACCTACACAGCTGAGGTCCCAGGAGAGGGTGCCACCCCTACCCCTCACACTGGAAACTCAAGCCTGAAGTGATCGTCAGCTTCTTTAATGGTGGAAGAAAAATAAAAGGTGAGCTTTGGGGACTAACATTCTAAATACCACCTCCAAATTGGTTAAGTTTCCGCACTCAGAGGCCTTTTTCACACCAGTGTCCAGTGTGGGGAGCAACATTCTCCGTGGCCTCATGGAAATACCCCTCACCAAGGTGACGCACACTCTGCCTCATTCTTTCCTAGCAGGGTGAACCCCACAGCCCACTAATTCCATCTTCTGCTGCTTGATTCCAGCCAACGTTCAAGGCAACTCCCAGGAAACAGTGAGATATGGAACTGACCTCCTCACACCAGTTTATTAAAAATGCCCACTCACTGGTTAAGAAACACTGAAGCAGGTGTTCAACTCCCCATTTTGCAGAGAAGAAAATACACATTTAGGTGCTTACAGAGTGTCTACTCCATTCATCCAGCAACACAACAACAGTGAAACAGACAGAGACAGTGGCAGTCCTCAGGGACCTCCAAAGGATTTGGGGACACAGAGCAGCTGCCTAACCTGTCTTGAGGTCGGGGACGGTTCTTCAGACAAGCAGCCAACGAATCTAGACCCAGAACACCACAGAAGTAACATGGAAACACATGTGTATTTAAAAAACACTTTGGGGGAGGGGAAAGGCAGTCAGCTCCACAGCCCAGATATGTGGGGAGTTCAACCCAGACTGAAAATCAGCAATGTAATAACCTAGGGAAATAAAAAAGTGGAAATACGGAATATTTAGTAGCTGTAAGCAATCCAGAAGAGGGAAGCCCAAGGCCCAGATGAGGTTAAGAGGTTTCTACTCTATCCTGAGCACACAAGGAGACCATAAAAGATCCCTTCAGCTGAATACCATGGTCAAAAACACACTCTGAAACCAAATCAGTCTCACGAGGAGCACACATGGAGTGCCGGGGTGAGAATGCAAGCAGCAAAGCTGGCCAGAAAGACACAGGACCAAAGGCAGATGATGGCAGAGGAGGCAGGGCTGGGGATCAATGCAATGGACACTTGGAGCCCAGAGACCAAACTGGAAAAGAAAAAAGGCCGAGATGATGCCCAGGACACTAGCTGGGGCGCTATGGGCACCACTCATTGGGACAGGGGACAGCAAAGCTGATGGCTGCCTGGGCAAAGAGATGATGAATTCAGTTCCAGATGTAAATCTGCAATCCACGTAAGAACGCTGCCTACATCTAGCAACAGAGATTTCAGAGTACTACATGAGCTCCCGTGTGAACAAAGTGCGAAGGAGACAGAAAACAACCCCGAAGAACAACCCAGTGTCAGGAAGTGGGAGGGGCGGAGGACAAAGAGGTCAAATAAGCAGCTGAACCACGAGAGGAATGCTGTCAAAGGAGCCCAGGGGAGAGCGGTCACTAGGGGCCCAGAAAGTCAGCATCGAATCAGCTGCTGGAGCCAACAAGACAGCTGGTGACCTCAGCACTCTTTCAGGTGTTCCCAGGCAGAAGTCCCGGCACTGAGGGCCAGGTGATCTCCAAAGGTGAACGAGTGGGCAATGAGTGCAAACTGCTTCTTTCACAAGCCCGGCTGCGCAGGAGAAGACACAGTCTAGGGGAAGAGACAGGGATTTAAGAGAGGAGATGGAGTTAGGATGTAGTTTAGTCAAAACATCCTCTGGAGTCAGACATTATGACGTTCCATGGGCTTCTCCACTTACTAATTAACCACGCACAAACTACTTAATACCTCCAAATCTGACAACGACAAAACATGTATAACGATCATTTAGCCCGGTGTGGGGCGCACACTTGTGATCCCAGCACTCCAGAGGCTGAGGCAGAAAGACTGCTTTGAGTTCAGGGTCAGCCTGGGCTACAGAGTGAGTTCAAGGCCAGCGTGCATTACATAGCAAGATCTTGTCTCAAGAAAAAAAAAAATGTGTATGTGTGGGAGATGCAGAAAAAGGATGGATTGATCCGGGGCCTAGCGAACCACGAAGAACACAACACCCTTTGCTAAATGGGGGGCTGGGGGAGGAGGAGGAGGAGGAGGAGGAGGCAGGGAACGATCGCGAGGTTGCGGAGGGGCGCGGGAGGTGCCTGGCTGTTGCACAGCCGAGCACTGCGTCCAGCCAGTTCCACAGCCCAGGAGCGGCGGCCGCGCGCCTGCGCCGCGAGCAGGTGGCGGGAGCGCGCGGGCCGCACGTGATGCCCGCGGAGCCGACGACGGCTGCTGCTTACCAGCAGGCTCTCCACGTTGATGGGGTCCCGGCAGCGGCGGCGCACCGTCTCCTCCGCCGGGTCCACCAGGAGGCTGGGCAGTCTCCGCGCCGGCCGCTGCTGGCTCATGACGCCGGCCGCCCCGCGCTCCTCGCGCCCCGCGGGCTCTCCCGCCTTCCGCCGCCTCGAGCGCCAGGGCCTGGGTACCCCGCACGCAGCGGGTCCGCAGTCGGCTCGGAGGAGAGCGGGGGCAGCTTGGCGAGGCTGCCTTGGCCGCCGCCTCGTAAGCCCGAGAGCTCCCGCCGCCCGCGCGAGGGAAGCACGGCGACCCGCGGCGATCAAGACGCCGAGCCCGCCATCTTCCCGCATGCGCAGTGCACCGCCTCTTGCGCATGCCCCCACCCGCGCCTTCTGCGCATGCTCGCCACCCCTCTGCGCACGCGCGGCGCGCTCACCCGCCGCTCCCGCGCTAGGGTCCTCGCCTGGCAGCCGGCGCCCGAAAGACCCGGAGAACGGTGTACGCGGAGGGGATGGCGAGGGAAAAGGAAGACGCGGAACGGGTGTCAGGGGAAGGGTGCACAGCTAGAAATACGGGGGGGGGGGGGGGGAGAAGGGGATGAAAAAGAACGAAGATGTGTTATTTACCTGCACCAACTCTTCACGAGGAGTGGGATCAGTATGTACTGCAAGTATGGACTCATAACAATTTTTAATTTTTTTAAATTAAAAAAATCAAGAAAAGAATAGAAATGCAGTGGTTGCCATGAAAAAAAAAATAATTTGGACTGGGGATTTAACTGTGTGCATTCGCACTGAGGTATATCCCCAGTCCTTTTTCTTTTTTATTTTGAGACCGTCTCCTTAGTTACCACTCTGCCAAAGCTGGGCTCTAATTTACAATCCTCGTGCCTCAGTCTCCCAGCACTTTTTATTTTTAAATTTGAGAAAGGGTCTCCTTAAGTGATGAAGTTGCTTAGGTTGGCCTCAAACTTGCAGTCCTCCTGCCTCTGCCTTCCAGATGCTGGGATCACAAGGGTGCGCCGCCACGCCAGGATGTGCCAGAGAAGTCTTTCTGAAGCCCGAGATCTGTCAGTGTACTTTGGATCCTGGTACTTGTTAGGATTTTGTCCCTGTACACCGGTCACTTCCTGCCACTGTCTTCCCCATAACTCGGCCGGCTGCTAGTGGATAGGGGCTGTGTCTAGGCTCGCAGGAGCCCCTGACTTTATCATGTCCTATTTGTTGCACTGGTCTCTCTGATGCAGCCACACGAAAACTCAACTAACTCCTCCAAAGCACTCAGGGAGGCTGTGAGTTCAAGGCCAACCTGGGCTACATAGCAGGACCTTGTCTCACAAAACAAAACAAGGCAGGTGTAGTGGCGCACGCCTGTGATCCCGCACCAGGGAGACTGAGGTAGGAGGATCTTCGTGAGTTCAAGGCCAGCCTGAACTACATAGTGAGTTTAGGATACCCTGAACTGCCTAGCGAGACCCTGTGTCAGAAAACCAAACCAAACCAAAATAAATGTTCACCTGCCACGCACTGCCTCTATGAACTGTACCACAAGCGGTTTGCCCCTGTGAGCCTTTCAGTATCGCATCGCCCGAAGACTTAGTTTTCTTAGCGGCTGTTTTCCCATCTGCAGAGCATCGGGATTCCGGGCGTCATGTTCTCCGACTGCCCAGCAGGGGGCGCCGCTTCCCTCAGGGAGCCGGCCGCAGGGGCCTGTGCTGGGGTGGCCGGGTGCCAAGGGGTGGGCGGCTGGGTTTCAGTCTATGGACCAGCAGGGTGCAGGGATCCGGCCAGCAGAGGCCACCACCTCCAGACTGCGGCACCACGCGGTTCGGTTCCGGCATTGAGCACCGAGAATGCGTATTGTATTAGGAATGCCAGCGTCCCTGCCCTTGCCTGTGTTGGGACATGCAAGAGACCTGGGGTCAAGCCTTTCCCTGCGCGGGAGAAACCTTTCCTCTGGAAGTGCTGGATAGCCGCACAGCCGAGTTGCGGTTTATAGAGACATTCGTTCTTTTCTTTTCCCCAGTTCTGAGGATTGGACCCAGGGGCTTCACACTGATCTGTATCCCCACTCCTTTAAAAAAAAATTATTTTGAGACAGGGTTTCACTAAGTCATTAAGTTGCTAAGGCTGGGTTCAGTTTCGATTCTTCTGCCTCAGCCTCCCAGGGCTCTGGAATCACGGGCATGCACTGCCCCACTTGGCGTGGAGATACTTATTGTGAGAGAATTAACTTTAAGCACCACTGAGAAGCCTGTTTGACATGGAAACAAGTGGGAAAGTAAAAAATGATTCTAAACTGCTTGAGGTACACAGATGGGTGCTTCTAAAGGCTCCCCAACTCCGCAGGGTAGCTTGGGATGAATGTGACTTGGAGAAAAGGCTACTTGTGCAAAGGCAGGAAAGGAAGGAGTCTGCAGGTGTACGTGTGTGTGATGGGATACACAAACATACAAATGCACAAGAGAAGGAAATGGTATTTGGCTGGAGTCGTGTGCAAATACATGTACGGAGAAAGAAAAAGATGAGAACTGCATCTGCAAGAAACATACAGTGCAACAGGAATGCATGAATTAAGATGTTTGTGTGACACTGTGTGTGTGCTTGTGAGAGTGGGAATTTTGGTGCTCGTGGAAAGAAACTCATGTTGAGAGACATGGATATAAGTGAAAAAGCCACGTGTGTGTGCACTTATGCACATACCTAAGCACGCATGCCATGTGCATTTGTGGAAGTAGGTGTGAGTTTAAGGATCATTGCGAGCACAGGAATAGATATAAGGGGAAAATGTGTGAGATGTGTGTGTGTGCAGGAGAGGGCGAGTGTGTGTGCCGGACTGCAAGGTGTGATTCTGCAGGACAGTGTGGCAGAGGGATGACCTGGCAGCACCCAGCAGCCACTTTGCGTTTTGCTGGCTGCACACCATGTTTATACTGCTCCATTCTCACCAGCAACATTTAAACCAGCTTGAGGGCTAGGGGTGTGGCACAGCAGTGCAGCGCGTGCCTTGCAAGCGCAGGGCCTGGCGTTCAGTTCCTGGTACCAAGAAAGAAAAAAGAAAAGACCAAAGAACAAAGCCCCTTAAAAAAGGAAATCCTTAAACCAGCTGGATTCCCTTCCTTTGAGAATATATCTCAAAATCACTCATTCAAATTCAATAAAGACAGAAAGTTAGGGGGTCAGGTTCAGCTCCACAAATTGCATCATTTGTATTTGTGTTTGGTGTTTACGTCACCATGATTCTTAACGTAGAAAATAATAAAGAGCCTCTCCATGAAACCTCATTTCTTGTTAATTACTAGTTGGGAGGAGTCTATGCGTTTCTAAAATTCACGCCAGGTCTTCAAAAACAGGATTTAATTTCTCTCCATGGTCTCTGTAACGGCCGCCTGAAGTGTACAGGACGCCACACCGGGACTCTTCCCCTCAACGCAGCATCATCTTCGCTTTGTTTTGTTGTTGTTGAGCCAAATTGTATCTGTGGCTTTTAATGAAGTAATTGAGAGAATGCCTTTCTCTCATAACAGTGGGGGGCAAACCGACGGTGGCCTGTGAGCAGCATTCACTAAGCTGCTTGTTTGGTTTTGTTTGTACAGCCCAGAGCTAAGTAGGGACCCCCCCTCCCCTCCCTCTCCCCCCTCCTGCCAGGCAGTGGAACCTGGGGCCTTGCACACTTCCTAGCCCACTGTGCTATATCCCAGGCTCTTCCCACTTCTAAAAAGTTCCGTCTTAGCCAGGAAAAGTGCATGCCTGTAATTCCAGCATTCTGTGAGGCTGAAGCAGGAGGATCACAAGTTCATGTCTAGCCTGGGCAGCCTAGCGACTTAGCAAGTCTCAAAATGAAATGAAATAAAATAAAACAACAAAATAAAGTGCTGGGGATGTAGCTCAGTTAGAGGTCCCTGGGTTCAGTCCCCAACACTGAAACCACAGTTCCATTTTGGCTCCAAGAGGCTGCTTGTTTTCTCATGGGAGTGTGCTCTGTGCTGTGGCTTGTACATCTTTTCTTTTTTGGTACTAGGGGTCGAACTTGGGACCTTGCGCTTGCCAGGCAGGCGGCAGAACCACTGAGCTAAATCCCCAGCTCCATCTTTTCTGACTTTGTTTGGCCCAAATTCGCTCTGCAGAGCCCTTTCTCTACTCCAGTGCTTTGTATTTAAAGTACTTCCAAGGAGGAAAGGAAAAAGACAGCGCTGCCAGACACCTTGGAGAGCTGTGATTTCTTCAGGTAACAGTTCTGCCTGTTGCGGGCTGGCCGGCTGTCGCCCTCTGCAGGGGACACCTGGTTGTCAGGTGGCACAGGCCTTCGCAGGGGGTCCTGGTGAGGAGCCAGAGAGCCCAGGGCAGCTCCTCAAGTTGGTTCTCTTGCTCTCGCTTTCTGAAACACAGAGGCCCTGATATTTGCTTTTTACAAAAGATGAAGCAGGACATGGTTATGCAGGCCTGAAATCCCAGCACTCTGGGTAGGCTGAGGCAGGAGGATTGCAAGTTCAAGCCCAGCCTGGGCAATTTAAGGACTTAGTGAGACCCTGTGTATAAATAATAAATAGAATAAGAGCTGAGGTTGGAGCTCAGTGTAAAGATCCTGGGAGAGAGAGATTGAGAGAGAAAGAGAGGGAGAGAGGGAGCGCGAGCGATCCTTCCGAGCCTCCGGTCGTTCCGGGGCCTCCTGAGTCTTCCTCGCTTCCCTGTGCCCTGGCCTGGCCACCCCGGCAGCGCTGCCCTCCTCGCTGCTGCTCAGTCCTCCTGAGTGCACCCGGTGGGCACCCTGCCTCGGCCGTCGCCGGCCGCCCCAGAAGCGCCCCAGTCCGAACCCCCCGCCCCTCCCCGCTCCGACCTCGCCAGTGACCCGGCCCAGCGTCTCCGCTCCCTCTCCTGGGCCGCGTGACCCCGGGACCCCGGGTGGCGTCTTCGCCCCCCACTCCCGGCCTCCCCGCGACACGGCGACCTCCGTCCTCCGGGTGCAGCGCGGCCCCGCGGGGCCATCCGGGTGAGCGACCCTCGGGGACGGCGGGGAGCGCGGAGCGGGCCAGGACTCGGGCGCGCGTCCCTCTCCCTCCTGCGGGGACCCAGGCGCGGCGCCAGGCGAGACTTGGTCCCGGGGTGCAGGGCGACGCGGACAGGGTCCACAGCCTTGAGGCGCGGCTGTCCCGAGTCCCTGCGGCCCCACGACTCAGACCCTCCTGGCCGAGGCCCCGGGCGGCCCGGAAGACCCGGAGAGTGGAGCGCGGGGGTCGGCGGTGTCAGGGGTCGCGTCCTCCAGGGCTCCGGAGCTCCGGGCTTTGCGCGCGCCCCGCGCCCGGAGCGCAGTCTGCAGGCCGGACAGCTGGGCCGGGCGGCCGAGGACAAAGGGCGCGAGGTGAGAGCGGCTCCGC